ATCACAGACTCCGGATTGACTATCATCGGCTCTTCACCTACTTAATTAAGTAGGTGCTATTACTATCCATTTTACAAATGGAAGGAAAAAAAGGCTTAAGGAGATGGTTACTTGTCCAAGTGCTAAGAGATAAAAGAGGGATTCACATCACCCAGGTCTGTCTGATTCCAGCGCTCACGTTCTTTACCAGAGGTTGGCAAACATTTTCTATAAAGAACTAAACAGTTGATATTTTCAGCTTTGGATATCATACAGTCTCTGTAACAACAAGTCACCTCCGCCACTTTAGTGCCAAAGTAGCCATAGACAATATGTAAATGAATGACTCTGACAGTTTCCAATACAATTTTATTCATGAAAATAGGTGGCGGGAAAATCTTGGCTCATAGGTTATAGATTGCTCTGAACAAGTACACTACTCTGTTATTTTTTTCTCCTGCTTCTCAATCTCCAGAGTTCTCTGTCCAACACAAATTTACAGCATTGCTTCTAAGCACAGGGCTGTGATGAAGATGAGAAAACCTCTGCCTCGAGGGACCTCAGATGTGAAAGGGGCGTATGTAAACGCACATCTGTAGCAGTCTGCCTATGGAAAGTCAGTGCCAAAAGAGAGGCACGGGCTGACCAGATATTTTTCTGATGAACACGTGAGGTCTTGTGGAGTTGCTGGCATATGACAAACGCTTTCTAGCAAGAGCATCATAGGCAGAGATGCTAAGAAGGAAGTTTCCAATGGAAGAGCCAGCACAAGCATACGTTTTTCTAGGCACCTGTCATTCATCTTCTACTCTCTACCAGGATTCGCTTACTTCCTCTTTTCCTTGCCAAAATCATATGCACTTTGGTCCAAATCTGTTTTTGCCTTGCACCTCACCTACTTTCTTCTCTGAATTTCCTTTCTGCCTTACCTTTCTGTTTTTGTATTTACTTCTCTCTTGATTACTGAGTCACTGCTGATTCAGCTCTGCAGCGGGCTCAAGGCACACATTTATATTACAGATTCCATTAGAGTGGACTCATGTACATCAACACGGCGGCAGGTTCATCTGGTTCGTCTAAGTCAGACAGCTGTGTAACATTGAAAAGAAGTCACTTGGCCCTAGTGAAACATCAACTTGGTTCTGTCAATTCGGTCAAGGTTGAAATGCTCTAGTCGATTTTGGGCAGGCAATAACACCCACTGTTTGAGCAGTTGAATTTCCGTTTGTTTATCTTACGCATATTTCTACTTTTTGTCTGTCCTGTTAATCTGTCTCTTTCAATCTTCTCCCGTATAATTTTTTTCTTTTTCTTTTTCCATCCTCCTCCTTTCCTGTACTTTTTGGATTATTACACTTCTTCTAGAGGCATGCTATTTCCTTTCTACTCTCTGCAGATATATATATTTTAATATATATTTTATATATATGTATATATTTATACATATAACACTATGTATATAGTGTTATATATATTTATACATATAACAATATGAATATGTTATATATATGTTGTAACGTTATATGTTATATACAACATAGTATATATAACATTATATACATGTTATATATAACATATGTTATCTATGCATATATAGTTATATATAAAATGTTATACACACACACACACACACACACACACATTATTTATGTATTTGAGATGAAGTCTTGCTCTGTGACCCAGGCTGGAGTGTAATGGTGCACTCTCAGCTCGCTGCAACCTCCGCCTCCCAGGTTCAAGCGATTCACCTGCCTCAGCCTCCTGAGTATCTGGGATAACAGGTGCCTGTCACCATGCCTGGCCAATTTTTTTTTTTTTTGTATTTTTAGTAGAGATGGGGGTTTCACCATGTTGGCCAGGCTGGTCTCAAACTGCTGACCTCAGGTGATCCACCTGCCTCCGCCTCCTAAAGTGTTCGCCATGCTTGGCCTCTGCAGATATAGTTAAAAAGATTCTTTGATCATTAATTCAACTTTTATTGAGCAATTATCACATAGTAGGGCTTGTTTCTAGGTGCTGGGCTGGAGATACAAAAATAACCAAAAGAAGGCCGGCGCGGTGGCTCACGCCTGTAATCCCAGCACTTTGGGAGGCCAAGGCGGGTGGATCACGAGGTCAAGAGATTGAGACCATCCTGGTCAACAAGGTGAAACCCCGTCTCTACTAAAAATACAAAAATTAGCTGGGCGTGGTGGTGCGTGCCTGTAATCCCAGCTACTCAGGAGGCTGAGGCAGGAGAATTGCCTGAACCCAGAAGGCGGAGGCTGCGGTGAGCCAAGATCGTGCCATTGCACTCCATCCTGGGTAACAACAGTGAAACTCCGTCTCAAAAAAAAAATAAAAAAATAAAAAATAAAAAATAACCAAAAGAGACAAACATCTCTACCCTTGTGGAACTTACATTCTAGTAGTAACTGAAATAGACAAGTAACAATAAACAGAATAGAAAAGTAAATTATATAATATAGCAAGTATTACGTGCTATGGGGAAAATTTCTGGGAATCAGGAATTTGGGTAGCCTGCTACTATTTTAAATAGATTGATCAGGAAGGTCATTAAAAGATCATCTGAACAGGTAGTTGAAGGAAATAAGGAAGCAAGTCATGAAGATGTTTGTGAGGAGGTGTTCTATGCAAAAATAAAACGAAAACAAAACACCCCTAGCACATACAAAGTCCTAGGGCAGGAGGGTACCTTTTCCTGGTGGAGTTGTGGGGTTAAAAAAAAAGTAACAGGCTGGGCGCGGTGGCTCAAGCCTGTAATCCCAGCACTTTGGGAGGCCGAGGCAGGTGGATCACGAGGTCAACAGATCGAGACCATCCTGGTCAACATGGTAAAACCCCGTCTCTACTAAAAATTACAAAAAATTAGCTGGGCATGGTGGCGCGTGCCTGTAGTCCCAGCTACTCAGGAGGCTGAGGCAGGAGAATTGCCTGAACCCAGGAGGCGGAGGTTGCGGTGAGCCGAGATCATGCCATTGCACTCCAGCCTGGGTAACAAGAGCGAAACTCCGTCTCAAAAAAAACACAAAAACTAAGAGATGTAACAAATAAATTTTATCTGAGGAATATGAGCTCCTTTAAATGACCAGGCCCAGAGAAGCACTGGAATGAAATAGCGGTCATATCACTCCTCCTTGAGCTAAATACTTCCCTCTTTTTGCAAACAATAATAATTATTTTGTAGAGACAGGGTCTCACTCTATCACCTAGGCTGGAGTGCAGCGGTGTGGTAAAGCTCACTGAAGCCATGAGCTCCTGAGCTCAACAGATCGTCCCATTTCAGCCTCTGGAGTAACTGGGACTATTGCCATGCACCGCCACGCCTAATTTTTAAGAAATTTTTTTCAGAGAAATGGAGTCGCACACTATGTTGTCCAGGCTGGTCTCAAACTCCTGGGTTCAAGCAGTCCTCCCACCTCAGCTGCCCAAAGCACTGAGACTACAGGCATGAACCACCATGCCTGCCTCAGTTACCTCCTGAAGCCACATTCTATTTGGGCTCTAGACTAACTGATGTCAACTAGCCACAGAATGGCTCACAACCTATAGTACAGCCAATCACTAATCAACACTGTTTCTTAAACCAATGAGAATTCATGACGAACAACCTTTTTTTTTGAGACAGAGTTTCGCTCTTGTTACCCAGGCTGGAGTGCAATGGTGCGATCTCGGCTCACCGCAACCTCCCTCTCCTGGGTTCAGGCAATTCTCCTGCCTCAGCCTCCCGAGTAGCTGGGATTACAGACACGCGCCACCATGCCCAGCTAATTTTTTGTATTTTTAGTAGAGATGGGGTTTCACCATGTTGACCAGGATGGTCTCGATCTCTTGACCTCGTGATCCACCCGCCTCGGCCTCCCAAAGTGCTGGGATTACAGGCGTGAGCCACCGCACCCAGCAGACCAACAACCTTTTAAATCACCTCAACTGATTCGTTCTTTCTTTTTGAAAAAGTTGAGCTTCTCTTTTGTTCTCCATAGCACTCCCCAGGGCAACTTGGAAGTGTGTCCTGGGCAGCAGTGCTCACCTTGTCCCAAATAAACTCTTTATATTAATTTTACCTCAGCTTCTTCCTTTTAAGTAGACAGAGGACAATAGGACAATTTCATGGCTGAAATGCAATGGAAGAGGAAGAGGCCAGTAGATGTGCTCAGAGCCCGTGGGGGCTGGGGGTGACAGCGAAGGAGGAGGCAGGTCATTTAGGGGTTTTCCTATTGGAAGAGCTTGGCTTTTACTATGAGTGAAGTGGAAATCCATTAGAGGGTTTTGGGCAGAGTTAAATGTTGACATATTGTTTAAAGGATCTAAAACAATAAGGAAGTAAGAGCAGAGAGGCCAAAAGACCAATCAGGAGTATATTGCAATATTCCAGGCAAGAAGTAAGAATATCATGGGGAATGTTTGCTTTTTTTACATTAGACGGTAAGAAAACTAAAGTTCGAGGGTTTTTGTTGTTTTTCAGATGGAGTCTCCCTCTGTTGCCCAGGCTGGAGTGCAGTGCAGTGATCTCGGCTCACTGCAACCTCCGCCTCCCGGGTTCAAGTCATTCTGCCTCAGCCTCCCGAGTAGCTGGGATCACAGGCATGTGCTACTACACCCGGCTAATTTTTGTATTTTTAGTGGAGATGGGGTTTTGCCATGCTGGTCAGAGTGGTCTCAGACTGGACCTCAAGTGATCCACCGCCTTGGCCTCCCAAAGTGCTGGGATTAGAGACATGAACCCCCGTGTCTGACCTATAAAGGTCAGGATTCTGATGCACAAGTGCATTTTACCATCCTCTGCTCCTCAGTGGAAAATTGGGAGCTCTTGCCCTGCCAGCTTAAGGATTGTTAAACATTTTGCATTGTCTTCAGCGTTGCTATTAACAGGTGATCTAATGGCCAGCACATAGCACACAGAAATATTCATGGAATGAATGAATATATAGTCAATTAAATGGATAACCTAATGACAATATCAAGGAACTTGCTTGTGCAGCATTCATTTCTTTTCTTTTCTTTCTTTTTTTTTGATATAGGGTATCATTCTGCCACCCAGGCTGGAGCGCAATGGTGTGATCACAGCTAACTGCAGCCTCGACCTCCTGGGCTCAAGCAATCCTCCTACCTTGGCCACCCAAAGTGCTGGGATTACAGGCATGAGCCACCATGCCCCACCAGGATTCATTTCTTCTGCATGCTCTGGTGGTGTTTATTGTATCTTTATATTCTATTTAGCAAAGCATGTTAAAATGCCATGGTATAAACACACTCCTACCCTCGCAGTGGAATGGAGAGGGTCTGTGTGCATTTACCATATTTAAAGTGGTCCCACAGCAATTTGTCAGCCATAGCAGGTAACAACTATACTCAGTTACGTTTGCTCGTCTCCTTCTGAATAGTTTGTGAGGTTCCTTCAGGTTTGGAACTATCTTTGATTGATCTTTATGTCTCCAGCACCTAGCACAGTGCTTAGCAACAAGTTTTGTTAAAATAAAGAATATACACTGTAATAAAGGGCAGTGGAAAGAAAATATGTGAGTTATCCACACCACCAGCTACAGGCCTAGTCTGATTGCTGTGAAAGATATGATTCATTTCTCTTAGGAAAAAACAATTCTTCCCGTACCGCTGTATAACTTGGCTTCTTGACTTGGGACGGTATTTGAAGTCTTTGAAGACCTGGAGCGATGTATTCTCCCCCTAGGCAGAGTGCCTGGTAAGTGGTCTGGTATTGATTAGCAAGTCACCAGTGAGTACTGGGAAGTGGGTTTTCAGGATCTGAGACTTGCAAGCTGGTGACGGACCGCTCCAGCTTCCAGTGGGCTCTGGGCCCGGGGCGCTGCAACCCACCTGAGCGGTGGGATCAAGGTCTTCAGCCTTAGTAGGGGGAGCCTCTGCCTGGCCTCCTTCACTCCCGAGCCCTTCACCAGCCTCCTCCCAAGAGGGTCCCCTCCACCCAGAACCTCCTCCCTAGGGGAGATCCCTCTGTCTGCGGGGCCCCCTCCCATAGGAGGGCCCCTCTTTCTCAGGGTGAACCTCTGTCCCTGATACCTGCTCCCAAGACCGAGACCCAGTTACGACCCCACCCCACAGGCCCCTCCCTTCCCCCCGGGATCCCCTCCGCTGGGGGAGACCCCTCTATCCTCGGGCCCCATCCCATAGGACGCGCCCCTCTTTCTTAGGGTGAACTTCGGTCTTGAATACCCGCTCGCAAGACGGAGACCTCTTCCCTGCTGGGATCCCCTCCCCTGGGGGAGACCCCTTGGTCCGCGGGCCCCCCTCCCATAGGACGCGGCCCTCTTCCTCACGGTGAACCTCTCTGTCCATGGTACCCGTTCCCGAGACCGACACACTGTTACGGCCCCTCAACCCAAGCCCCTCACCCTGGCGTTCCCTCCCCTCGGAGGAGCCCTATCTGCGACCCCTCCCAGTTAATCACCCCCCGCATCCCTCCCCGCCCTCACACAGCACTTCCGCCGCGCCCCCTCCCCTCAGGCGGGACTTCCGCCGCGCCCCCTCCCCTCAGGCGGGACTTCCGCCCGCGCCCCCTCCCCCGCGGCGCCGTCCCCTCCTCCCGCCTGGGGCGAGCCTGTGTTCAGCCTCGAGCTATCCGGCCGCGGCGCAGCTTCAGGGCCACGCGGGCTGCAGCGGCGGCGGTGGTCGGGGCTGTGCAGGGCGTGTCCTCCTTTTTCCTCGCTCTCCTCCTCCCTCCTCGCCATCCTCCTCCTCCCTCCTCCTCGCCTTCCTCCTCCTCTTCGTCAGGCTCTGCAGAGCTGCGAGCGGCAAGATGGCGGCGCCCAGACCGCCGCCTGCCCGGCTGTCGGGCGTCATGGTACCGGCGCCCATCCAGGACCTGGAGGCCCTGCGCGCGCTCACGGCGCTCTTCAAAGAGCAGCGGAACCGGTAACGAGCCCGGCGGGGGGCTGCCCGGGGCGGGGGAGGTCGGCCGGGACTTCCGCGGCGGCCCGGCCTAGGCCCAGGCGCCGCCCCCTCCTCGTTGGAGACGCGGAGGGCGAGGCCTGCGCGGGCTGCCGGAGCGCCACCCAGGCCTCCCGACTCCCAGGCACCGCCTCGTCCTGCCAGTGCTGTTGACCCAGCACACGCTTAGGCCGCCCGTGTCAGGCGCGAGGGCTGCGCCAGGCCCTGCTGCGAGCAAGACCCACGCGACCCCGCGAGTCATAGAGCGTGTGTTTTAGCGGGGGCGACGCGCGTCGGGGGCGTGGGAACTGCACCGTTGTGGGGATGCGGGTCTGTTAGCGTGGAGTTGGGACCGACACCCCTTCCTCCTGGGCGGCGGAGCCCAGGCTGCGCCATCCCCTCTGGGGGCAGCGCTCTGTGCGGCGTGGAAGAACACGGGCCTGGAGACACCGGTCCGGTCCTGATGCCACTGAGGGGCAGTGGGCGGTTCCCCGTGTGCCAGCTCTCGTGCTAGGTGATGGGGTGGGAAATGGGAAGTCCTTGCTCTCTCCTGTGCTAGTACGTACAAGGTAACATACAGCTGCGGGGGTATATGTGCAAAGAGCGGACGGAGCATTGACCAAAGAAATACTCAGACTTGGGCCGGGCGGGGTGGCTCACGCCTGTAATCCCAGCACTCTGGGAGGCCGAGGCGGGTGGATCACGAGGTCAAGAGATCGAGACCATCCTGGTCAACATGGTGAAACCCCGTCTCTACTAAAAATACAAAAATTAGCTGGGCATGGTGGCGCGTGCCTGTAATCCCAGCTACTCAGGAGGCTGAGGCGGGAGAATTGCCTGAACCCAGGAGGCAGAGGTTGTGGTGAGCCGAGATCGCGCCATTGCACTCCAGCCTGGGTAACGACAGCGAAACTTCGTCTCAAAAAAAAAACAAAAACAAAAACAAAAAGTTTAGACTTGAATTGGTCTAGGTGATACTAGAGGACTTCCTCTCTTTAAACTAGACATCTGGTCTGAGCACTAACTTTCCCTCAAATCACAGTGGGAAATGTGGAGCTGCTGAAGGAATGCCATTAATAAAAGTCCCTGGTACTGGTCCATGAGCCTTTGGGGGAGATGCATTTATTGATTTAATGCTTAGGCATATCTGTACCGTGATAGACCCTCCTTTTAGTTAATAACCCAGTCATCAACCTGCTATGAAACAGCAGGTGCTGAACACCTGCTATGAAACAGGTTTTTTGTTAGGGGCTGAGGGTGCAAAGGTGAATGATGTGATCCCTTTTATCAAGTATATTTGGGAAATTGTTAAATAAACACATTGTAATGGAAATCTGTGCAAGAGGTGGTGGCAGAGGGGAACGTGTGGATCTGTTGGAAGATTGGCGAGCCAGGAGAGGCTTTAGGATTATTTCAGGTGCGTGGGGTATATAGATGAGAGGACTGGAAGAAGGAACAGTGTCTGCAAAGGGGCCATATGTTGATTTTGCAAAGCTGATGAGACAAAGTAACATAGATTAGGTTTCTGGTACAGAGGAGACGTTTATTCAAACTTCAGTTCCCTTTTTGTAACTTGAAGAAAATCCAAGCCCCTGAGCAGGTTTAGAAGACACTTCTTGACTGTCTCTTGTGAGGGAAGAAGTTTCTTATCTTGAAAACGGGATGATGGTAGCCACTTTGAGGGATTATTGTGAGGATCTGTAATATGTGTAGCACAGTGGTTTATACATAATATATGCCATTTACTTAGGACCTGTTATTAAAATATAATAAGGTTATAAGTGACCAAGAGCCCATTTGTGTTGAATCTCCTGTCTTATCAAAAACAAAAATTGAAGCTATTTCTGGAAGACAGTTCTAATTTTGGGGTTTTCAGAGAAAGGGATCTCAGGATCTCATTACCATTTTAGCAACCCCCAAGTAAAAGGAAATTCTTATATCCCATTGTGGTGATTTTAAATATACTCACAAATTCTTTGACACTCTGACCTTCAAGTGGAGGAAGTTAATTCTTTTCTCCTTGAGTGTGGGCTGAACTTAGTGACTTGCTTCTGAAGAGTAGAATATGTCAGAAGTGACAGTGTGTGAATTCTCAGACTAGGTCATAAAAAGGATTGTAGTTGCCTTTTTGCTAGCTCTTTCTGGGATCGCTCACTCTGACTAAACCAGCAGCCATGGCAGGAGGATACTCAAGCTCCATACGCAGAGAGCTGTGGTGAGGAGTTGAGGCCTCCTGCGACAGCGATGTGTTGCACCACCTTGGAAGCAGGTCCTCTCAGCCCCAGTAACATCCTCATCCTCATGAGACACCCTAAGCCACTCAGAACTGTGCGACATCATGTTATTGTTTTAAAAATGCTAAATTCGGGCTAATTTGCTATATAGCCATAAATCATTAATACACCAGTCTAAATTCTCCATGCTCTGTATTAAATGCATTCTGTAACCCACTTCTTAAACAGTGTCTTGGTCGGTAAACTTATTTAAACATTGTATATGGTCATATAATGTCAGTATTAAGATATTCCTCGGTTATGTCTTCTCTGTGTAAGGTAATTCTTTTTTCTCACATTTGTTTTATACTTTTTGTTTAATGTAGATATTGGTGTAATTCACATTTGCTTAACAAGTTGTCTTGCTGTGAGTCTTTGCAAGTCATGTTAAATTCTTTCTGAATAAGTAAAACAAATACATTTAAAATTCTATTTTAGTTGTTCTTTTATCTTTCTGTTTGTTTGTTTTGTTTTCAGAAGGGGCCTCACTTTGTTGTCTCAGCCGGAGTATATTTTTCTAGAGAAGGGGTCTCACTATGTTGTTCAGGCTGGTCTCGAACTCCTGGCCTCAAGTGATCCTCCTGTCTCAGTCTCCCAAAGTGTTGGGATTACAGGCATGATCCACCGTGCCTGGCTAGTTGCCTTTATGATGCATCTCTGAGGGCTGATTCAGACCCCACAAAGTGTAGAGTGAGGCGAGATTGGTTGTCATTCTCCATCTTGTGCTGTTCATTAAGTAGCCACAGCTACATATAGCTACTTAATTAATTGAAAATAAGTAAAATTAATATTTTAGTTCCTTAATTGCATTAGCCATATTTTTTAATTTTTAATTTTCTTATCATATTTGTAGACACGGTCTCATTCTGTTGCCCAAGCTGGAGTCCAGTGGCACGATTGTAGTTCACTGCAGCCTTGACTTCTGGGCTCAAGCAATCCTCCTGTCTCAGCTTCCCCAGTAGCTGGGACTACAGGTGCACACACTATGCCCGGCTAATTTTTTTGTTTATTTTCTGTAGAGATGGGGTTCTCGCCATGTTGCCCAGGCTGGCATTAGCCATATTTTAAGAGCTCAGTGGCAACATGAAATTGTGACAGCACAGGTATAGAATATTTCCATCATCACAGAAAGTTCTGAAGATAGTGCTGTTCTGTAATTTATTGTTTTCTATAGGGGAGATTGTGTTCTGACGAGTATTCTTGAAATAATGGAACATTTGGATACGTTTCTATAAATTCATCTCTTAAACTAATACCTCATTGCTCCTCCACCTGATAAGCTTCTTGAATAAAGTGGGCACGTCACATTCACTGTATGCCTGGCATCTAGCATAGAGTCGATAGTGACGGATGCTTAAGTTTCTTGTGGAGTTGCCGCTATTTCTGTAGCTTATGACTCGCTGTGCTTGCCTGGTCTGTTTGCCACTTGGACAGTAATTTCTTTTTCAGCTTCTATCAGTATAGCTTGTTTTTTCTCTTTTAATCTGTTTAGACAAAATGAGGTTTTTCTTGGTGTCTAATTTAAAAATTAAAAAAAAATAAATTCAGGCCAAAAGGTTTAAAAAAAAAAATGAAAAGGCAAGTCCTGGACTTAGAGAAGTATTTACAATATGTATGACAAAGCAGTTGTTTCAGAATATATAAAGATCTCTTGTAACCTAATAAGAAAGACTCCTATCACTCAGTTTAAAAATTGGGCAAAAAAGTCTGTGCTTTACAAAGGGAGAAAAATGCAGGCCGGTAAACATATGATAAAGTGCTCCAAATCGTTAGTCATTAGGGAATGCAGTTAAGACCACAGTGAGAGACTGCTGCATACTATATAGGATGGCTGTTATCAAAAAACGGAGAACAACAAGTGTTGTTGAGGATATGGAGATAGGGAACCCTTGCGTGTTGCTGGTGGACATGTAAAATGGGGCTGCCACTATGGAAAATAATTTGGTGGGTCCTCAAAAAGCTAACCATAGAATATGGCCAAGCAGTTTTACTCTTAGGTATATAGCCGAAGAAAATGAAAAAGGACAAATGTATGGTTCTGTTTTTATGAAATACCTAGAACAAACTTGTAGAGACAAAGTGGATTAGAGGTTACTAGGATTTGGAGAGGGGGGAAATGGGGGAGTTTCTGCTTCATGTTTACAGAGTTTACATTTGGGTGTTAAAAAATTTTGGAAATGGAGGTGATAGTTGTACACATTGTGACTATCATTAAAGCCACTGAACTGTAGACTTACAATGGACAAGATGACAAATGTTATGTTGTATGTGTATTTCACCACAGGTACAACAGTTACTGTAGCAAAATCCATTTAATCGTACACTTTAAATGGGTGACTTGTATGCCATGTGAACTCTTATCTCAATAGTGCTGTTACAGACAAAACCAAAATAAGCTACCTCTGTATGCCTGTTAGAATGGCTGCAATGAAAATGGCTGACCACTGAATTTTGGTGGGCCTGTGAAGCTATATATTTACAATGAAAAAAGTCACATTGTTTGGAGTGGTGGGGAGGTGTTTAAAGTATGAGCTCTTCCCTCACTGCTATTTTTGTTTAGTGATAAAATAGCATTTTATGTATCCTTTTCCCTACTCAATAGTGCTTTTCTTGAAAGCAGAGACTTGGTGTTTCTTAGCAGGGTGCCTGGTCCATTTTGGATACTTCGTAAATGTTGAACTGAACTGAATAGAGCAGTGAGGAGCTACTGCA